CATAAAGTGCAAAAGGATCGGTTCTGAAGTTCTGATCGAGCTCGGACGTGTAAACACAGCTGCGTTCAGAAGGAGGTTTTTACTCGACGTCTTCGTCTGTTCATCGGTCTGTGGTTTTAAAGCAGATTCTAAATATCAAACTGTACAGAAAATCATCAGGGCCCAGGATCCAACACGTGAAACTGTTCATTTGTTTGTTTTTCAAAATAAAACCAAAATTAAGAAAATGAAAAAACAACATTATTCATTATTTCTGTCCCAAAACCAAAATGAAAAAACAGATAATGATTAATTTTTTTAGTTTTTTGATTTTGTGTTTAAATGAAAAATGGAAAAAATAGATAATGGACTAATCCAGGACTAAACCAGGACTAAACCAGGACTAAAACAGGAGTGTTGGGACAAGGTGCACCCACTTAGACTGTCGAGTGATCACGACTGAGACTGGGACCAGACTGGGACCAGGATCAGGACCAGGACCAGGACCAGGACCAGGACCAGGACCAGGACTGAGACCTGACTGAGACCAGTTTAGTCCTGGTTTAGTCTTGTTTCAGTCCTGGATCAGTCCTGTTTTAGTCCTGTTTTAGACCTGGCTTAGACCTGTTTTAGACCTATTTTAGACCTAGTTTAGTCCATTATCCATTTCTTCCATTTTTCATTTAAACACAAAATTATCTGTTTTTTTTATTTTGGTTTTGGAAACAAATAATGAAGAAAATAGTCATTTTCATTTTCTTATTTTTGCTTTTATTTTGAAAAGCGAATGAATGAATTATACACAGATTCATGAGTTTGTTCGGTCGTTTTTACGGTTGTTTTCTGCAGGTGTTTGATTTCCTCTGGTGAAACCTGGGCTCATTTTACTCTTTGACACTTGTGTTTCTGTGTTTTTGTTTCTGGGCTCTAATGTTTTTCTGCACGTCACAGAGTTTTAAATGGTTTATGACTGGAACAGAAGCACTTAAAGGCACTTTCTGTATTTCACAGAGCTCGAGATCTGTAAAATATTACCTCACGTTTGACTCCAAGTGTAACAAAGCCTCTTATTCTCCTCCAATGAAAACTTAAAACTACAAATTCTACCAAGAGGTGAACTCTTTTTTTCTTTTTTTTTAGGTTTGAAAGTAACAAAATATAATATGTAATACACAAGTTCGTTTAGGGATGCACCGACTTTGAACATTTTGATGGATTCAGTCACATTTTCGTCTATAATTTGGTGTAATAAATCGATTTACAGGCCAATGTTCGTCCAAAACACTTCGTAATATTGAAACTGTATTTGTAGTTTCTTTAAATAAAAAATATTTGACAAGACACATTTGGATGATCTTTTACCAAATGCTGTTTATGTTTAAAGAAAATAAATCGTATTTTCAGTCTCTGTCCTGGTGTCGGTCGATATCAGGTATCGGCAAACACTTAAAACCAAAGTATCGACATCGGCACCTAAGGAGCCGTTTGATGATGTACATGAAAAAAAGATACTAAATCATGTCCTCAAATTACTATTTCGTTCCCACAATGCGGAATTTGTTCCCACGTTTTAGATAAACTGTTCCCACACTTTAGTTAAATCGTTCTGATGTTTTATTTGAATCGTTCCCACATTTTAGCTAAACCGTTCCCACGTTTTAGTTAAGTTGTTCCCACATTTTAGTCGTTCCCATGTTTTGGTCAAATCGTTCCCACGTTTTAGTTAAATAGTTTCCACATTTTCGTTAAATCGTTCTCACGTTTTCGTTAAATCGTTTCCATGTTTTAGTTAATTCGTTCTTACATTTTGGTTAAATAATTTCCACGTTTTAGGTAAATCGTTCTTGCACTTTAGTTAAATTGTTCCAAAGTTTTAGCAATTTCGTTTGTACGATCAAGTTAATTTGTTCGTACGATTTAGTTATAAATTGTTCCCACGTTTTAGTTAATTCGTTCCTACATTTTAGTAAAATCATTTCCACGTTTTAACTAAATCGTTCCCATGTTTTAGTTAAATTGTTCTCATGCTTTAGTTATCTCGTAGCCGAGTTTTAGTTATAAATTGTTCCCGTGTTTTAGTCAAATCGTTCCCACGTTTTAACTAAATAATTCTTACGTTTTAGTTAAATAATTTCCACGTTTTTGGTAAATCGTTCCCACGTATTAGCAAATTCGTTTGTTCAATTTAGTTAATTCGTTCGTACAATTTAGTTATAAATTGTTCCCATGTTTTATGTATGATTTGTAACTAAAATGTTACAAACGATTTACATATTGCGGGAACAAAATAGTAATTTGAGGGTATGTTTTAGTATGTTTTTTCGCGTACGTCATCCCTCCGTATCAGAACAGAAAGAGCTGTTATCGGTGCATCCCTCACGTCGTCAAATAAAATCATTAAGAAATGTAATCAACAGATATAATAATGCTACTATTGAAAAACCAAAGTTGCTGAAATCCTAAAGTTCTCCGCTGTGTTGGTTAAGTCTCTGTATAAAGTGCTCGTCTGTCACAGGTTTCCGCACGTGCAGGAAGTGCAGTGTCCGTCCTGAGCCGAGGTTCCCTGAAGAGGCCACTGCTCTCGTCATTCACACGTTCACCTTCTCGTTTGTGCTCTGGTCAAACCTCAAAATGTGCACGACGTTTAGGACCAGGATCTAGTCGAGTCTAAAGTCCAATTTCATATTTTCGTACAGAGACTTTAGACTTTAGACTTTTTACGTCGTCAAAATCGTGTGCGCGATGGTTCTGACTTTTTTTTTTTTTTTTACACGCTGCTGCTCCAGAACACCTCGTTTTTCACCTCATTTTGTGTTTTTGTACTGAGGATTTTCATTTAATCAAAAACAAAAACCCCACAGATACGGAGTAAGAAGCTTCCAGAAATATCCCTGTGCATATTTGTCTGTAGTTGAGCATAAAATAAATCTTCGTAAACTCTGGAATGAGTCGAGTCGAACGTAAAATTAAAATGTGTTGTGTGTGTTTTATCCTTCAGAATACAAAGTGAAAAGTTATGACGTTTTAGACTTGGTTCAGTCCTGGTTTAGACCTGGTTTAGACCTGTTTTAGACTCGTTTTAGTCCTTCTGGTTCAGTCCTGGTTTAGTCCTTCTGGGTTAGTCCTGTTTTAGTCTGGGTTCAGTCCTGGTTTAGATCTGGTTTAGTCCTGTTTTAGTCTGACCTGGTTTAGACCTGTTTTAGACCTGTTTCAGTCCATCCGGTTTAGTCCTGGTTCAGTCCTGTTTTAGTCCTGGTTTAGTCCTGTTTTAGACTCGTTTTAGTCCTTCTGGTTCAGTCCTGGTTTAGTCCTTCTGGGTTAGTCCTGCTTTAGTCTGGGTTCAGTCCTGGTTTAGATCTGGTTTAGTCCTGTTTTAGTCTGGGTTCAGTCCTGGTTTAGATCTGGTTTAGTCCTGTTTTAGTCTTTCTGGTTCAGTCCTGGTTGGGACCTGGTTTAGACCTGTTTTAGACCTGTTTCAGTCCATCCGGTTTAGTCCTGGTTCAGTCCTGGTTTTGACCTGGTTTAGTTCTGGTTTATTCCTTCTGGTTTAGTCCAGATTCAGTCCTGGTTTAGTCCCTGTTTTAGACCTGCTTTAGTCCTGGTTTAGTCCTGGTTTAGTCCTGGTTTAGTCCTGGTCCTATATTCAACCACAGCCAAATATGCACAGATATTTATCCTACAGACACGGATATTTCTGAAACTTTTTCTTACTTGATACTCAGACCGTAAATAACTTTGAAACTTATCAAAGCTCAGACAGATTCTCCTTCAGACTTGTACTCGCAAAAGTTCTCAACCCAACCTTTTCGAGTAAATGTTAAGTCGTACTTTTCATTTGTCGAGAAATAAACTGGTGTAACTTTAGAATGAAAACACAGAGCTGCACAACAACGCAAAACAGAAAAACTAAATACAAATCACCTGTTTTTGTTATTAAAATGTGAAAAAGTTATATTTATTGATGAATTCTCTTACTAGTTCCAGGTTCCAGATTAAGTTTTGGTCGAGTCTTGTTAAACTTTTATTTTGAAAAATGAAATTTCAAGGTCAAAATAAAATTAATTTAATGACTTTTTAGCGTATCTTTATTTGAACATTTTAGTGCAAAGACATAACAGCACAAAACTTTTCTCTTTTGGGTTTGTAGAATCCGTTTGTCATTTGTTCATTCGTTTTTCAAAATAAAACCAAATATAAGAAAACAAAAAAATTTAATTTCTTTATTTTCATTATTTGTCTCCAAAAACAAAATGAAAACAGGACTAAACCAGGTCTAAACCAGGACTGAACCAGGACTAAACCAGATCTAAACCAGGTCTAAACCAGGACTAAACCAGGACTGTTGAGTGGTCAGGACTGAGACTGGGACCAGACCAGGAATGAGACCGAGACTGAGACCAGGACCAGTTCAGTCCAGGGTTAGACCTTGTTCAGTTCTGGTTTAGACTTGGTTCAGTCCTGGTTCAGTCCGTTCTCCGTTTTTTTCCCATTTTTCATTTAAACAGAAAATCGAAAACTGAAAACTCAAATCATTATCTGTTTTTTTTCATTTTGGTTTTGGAGACAAATAATGAAGAAAATAGTTTTTTTTTTTTTTTTTCTTATTTCTGATTTTATTTTGATGAACGAATGAATGAACGAGACACGGATTTTGTAGTAAATTTAAATGACACAATTTGGGGAAAATAATATCGGCAGAGCTTATCGCCCATTGGGTTTCTCTGGATTCTAAACTATCGATATCGCCCATGGAAAGACCGATATCTGTCGATGTTTAAACTGAAATGATGGTGTCCAGACGTATCAGAATAATCACAGTTATTGGATGTTTCTGTTTTTTCTCTTATTGTGCAGCTCTGTGAAACTTTCCTGGACGAGCCGCGTTGTTTGGTTGGTGTTTGGTTGATGTTGTCGGTGCTGGTGGACCTTCGCTGACGGGAGCCGGGTGTTTGTCTGTGGGATCGGGGGCTGAGGTCTTTGCTGGGGTCTTGGGTCCGGGGTCCTGGGTCCTGGGTCCGGTCTTAGCTCTGGTCCTGGGTGTGCGGGCTGAGGGCGGGCCAGGTGAGGGTCACATTCAGCTGCTGGTTGTGCTGGACGAGGGAGGTGTGGCGGTAGTGGAGGACCAGCTCTCTGAGGGAGGGGAACATGTTGAAGGGCTCAGCGAAGCCGAAGCCGCTGGACGTCCTGTAGATCACACAGTGCTTCACGGCTCCGTCCGCTCTGGAGACAAACAAACGATGAAGCATGAGTCTGATCTAAAGCTTCAGTCTGCACCGTTCGACCTCCACCAACTCTCACGCACAAGTAAACCACGTTAAAACACACCTATTCAAGCCGCTCCTGTTCTGACGAGGATTCTTTTACTATTTTCACAACATAAACTTTTAACATTTTTTAAATCCTCAAAGCTCCTAAGAGTGATCTTTGACAGACTTGGCGTCTGCGCGGGACACAATTTTCAGTCCCGCTCCTGCCCGCAAGTCCCGCAGGATGTGAACCTTTGCTTTCTTAAACTCTTTCAAACACGGAGAAGTGAAAGAAATTGGACTGCGTCTGGGAGGAGGCGCGGTGGGCGATCCGGCGGGATGGTTAAGTCCTGGCCAAATCCTGTTTTAGTCCTGGTTTTAGACCTGGTTTAGTCCCTGTTTAGTTCTGGTTTATTGGCGCAGGCCTCACGACGTACGGAAGGAGGGACTAATCGCACGCCGTACAAATGGATCTATTAAAATAACTGGATACAGTTTTGCTGCTTGTTTCTGCCTCCAGTTGTCGTAGTGTCACTGGAACTTCAGCAGAAAAAGTCCCGTGGGCCGAGACAAGATTTTTTTCATAAAGTGCAATATAATCACAAACTGCTCGTGCTCGTCTGACAGGGACCTACAGCTTTCAAAAATATCGGATTTGTTGGCGATTTTTACAAATTTTTACCTATTTTTAGATCATAAACTTTTTCTCAGCTCAAAATCCTTCAGTTGTCTTAAAAAATGCTTTATATTCATTAGCTCCGGCTCCGCTCTGCTCCTCTCGCTCTGATTGGTCAAAGCGATCACGTGATACACGAGCCCGCGCTCCGTGCGTGCGTTCGCATGCATTGCCGTGTGTCTGTGGGAGAAAAGAGCACTACTGCACATGCTCGGTCGGCCCACAGCCACTGGAAGAACCTCACCGGGCTAAACTAATCTGGGATCATGCACCATTGAGCTCAGCCCATTGACTTGAATGGGCGGCCATTTTGGAACCTGGGGGCTTGGCCGTACGGGACACGGTGGGACTGTTCCTGCGGCGTACGGGACATGGGGAGACTGTTTACGCGGCGTACAGAAGGAAGGACTGTCCGCGTGGAGTAAGGGCCGTGGGGGGACTGTTCGGGGGCATATGGGACGGGTGGGTCAGTCTGCGCGGCGGTCAGTCTGCGCGGCGGTCAGTCTGCGCGGCGGTCAGTCTGCGCGGCGGTCAGTCTGCGCGGCGGTCAGTCTGCGCGGCGGTCAGTCTGCGCGGCGGTCAGTCTGCGCGGCGGTCAGTCCGCTGCTTAAAATGTTTTTATTAATGCCAAATAAAATCTCCAGCCCAAATTATGCATGGTATTCTTACATTCATCATTTGTATATTTTACTTTACACTCATATTTAATTCGCAGGACTGCAGTTTATCATCCCTCCCGTCCGCTCCAAAATGTGTCTCAGTGGTTTGCGTCGGGACCCGCTGGAGGCGCTGGACGCCCGCGGGACTGCAGGGCTCTGCCTCGCAGCTGTCGCCCTGATTGGTCCAAACGCTCCACACCGTGCACCACATTACAGACGTCACACCGACGGGCTGACGAAGTAAATCATGGATCTATTAAAATAACAGGAGGTGATACTGTTTCTATCTGCCTCCAGGTGACGTAGTGACTCTCACTGGAACTTCAGCGAAAAAATCCTCCGGGCTGAGAAAGGAGTTTTGTCATGGAGCGCAGTGTAATCACAAACTGCTCGTGTTCGTCTGACAGATTTACAATTTCAAAAATGTTGGATTATGTGGTGATTTTTACCTATTTTAGATCATGAACTTTTTCTCAGCTCAAAATTCTTCAGTCGTCTTAAAAAAAAAAAAAAACTCTTTATAATCGTTCGCTCTGCTCCTCTCGCTCTGATTGGTCAAAGAGATCACATGATACACAAGACCGTGTGTGTGCTCATGTCTATTGTCGTGTGCTTGCAGGAGAAAAGACTCTACTGCACTACTGCACATGCTCAATCGACCCAGAGCCACCGGAAGAACCTCACCGGGCTAAAATAATCTGGAGTCATGTGACACTGAGCTCAGCCCATTGACCTTAATGAGCGACCATTTTAAACCCTGGGCCTTGAAGAAAATGCAGAAGAGAAAATTGTTATTAGGTTCTTTTTTTCAGACCTAGAGTGTTATTTCATACCTGACAGTTTCGACTGCTCACTAGCGTCTTCCTCAGTCGGACTGCAGGTGGCGCTGTCGTCCTGCCTCCACCGGTAGGAAGACGGCGCCAAAACCTGTTTAAATCAGCTGATCAGACACGTCACAGCAACGTCACGTGACTCTGAGGAAGACGCTAGTGAGCAGAACAAACTGTCAGGTATGAAATAACACTCCAGCTCTGAAAAAAAGAACCTAATAACATAGAATATTGGAAGACCAAATGAATCTCATTGGATTAGAAGAGAAAATTATTTCTGGGCCCATGAGCCAATGAGCACAGGCCTCTGAAAACAACATGACGCCATCTTGGGTTCACCACAGATTTTATTATAGTTCTGTGATTCACACACTCCTCAGGACGGCTACACAGGTACTGTAATAACAAGTCAAGTCAAGTCAAGTCCACTGTCGAGTCCAAAGCATGAACCGTCTGAGCTGGTCTAACAACACCAGTTGCACAGTGAAAAAGGGACACCAACGCCTGTACTTCGTTAGGCGCCTCAAAAAAGCAGGTGTGGGCCCCTCTGTCCTGAAGGTCTTTTACAGGAGTGCGGTGGAGAACATCCTCACCTCCAACATGACTGTGAGGTTCAGCAGCAGCACCAGGGCAGAGAGGAAAACTCTGCAGAGGATAGTTAGAGCTGCTGAGGGCATCTGCGGCTGTATCTGAACTGAATTTAAGACATTTCCATCAGCAGGTGCAGGACAAAAGCCACAGCATCAAGGAAGAATCCACCATCCAGCACATGGACTTTTTACAGCTCTCACATCAGGCAGAAGATTGCGCCACCTACAGGCCAGGACCACCAGACTACGGAACAGTTTTTATCCTGATGCCGTGAGACAGATCAGTTCTGTCAGAAAGCCCAGACACTAATGCTCCTTACAAAACAGCACTGACTTGGAAGCGCACTTTAGGAAACAAGGACGGGGGGGGGGGTTGTGTTTTTTAAAGACTCTATTTGACGCACAATATTTTAAAGGTTGTATAGAGGATATTTTAAGGGAAGAGAAATAATTTTTCAAATGTTGTGCATGTGTGACACCACCTTCCTCCTCCACAGCTCCTCAGTAGAAACATCTCGTCCCGCCTCTTTACTCTAGAAATCACGTTTGTTTACAGCCAGTTCAGAATTACCATTGAAGTTTCCTGTCTAGAAATAATTTAGCGACCGACGCGTCTTCAGTTTTTAGACCCTTCGTCTGCTTCAGTCGCGCCATCGCTGGAATGAATCTCCAAGAATCACCTCAGTTTGTCTTCGCTCCTTTTCTCCTTCTCTTTTTCTTTCAGCGACCTCAAAAAACTGACTTTCTTTTGCGGCGAACCGGTCGTGGATTCTCGTCCGCCGTCGCGACAAACTCTGTGCGAATTGCGATGAAGCTACAGTTTGAAAAAGCCTCTAAGAACCGCCCCATACACCACGAAATCCCTGCGCGACAACGAGTCCGTTGCGCTAGAAACGTAGGGAGTTTGATTGACGACCTAACAGCCAATAGAAAAAGAGGGAGCCTCGTTTTCTATTGGCTGATGTTTATCTGGCCTCAACACGTCCACAGTTGATGGATTTTCATTCTTTTTTTTTTTTTGGTCATCATAATTACAAAGCTGCTGCGTCTCTGTAATGGTATTTTAAACTTTCATTGACAATGTGAAACAAAAAAAAAATCCTCCATACAACCTTTAACTATTGATTCTTATTATTATCTGTGCTGCTGTTGACCTGGACCTGAGTGCAGTATTTCATTTCTGTGTATTTTTTTTTTTATACTGAAATGACACATAAATTCTGATTCTGATTCACAGTTTTTACTTTTATATAAAATCATGTGTATACTTACACTTCAGATACCTCATGCCAACATGTCCCTCTGGCTCTGTTCTTCTGGCGCTTACACCAATCCAACTTCCCCCCACACACACACACACACACACACACACCACACACACACTGGGCAATGTGGATGAAGTGTCTTGCCTAAGGACACCCCACCACGGCACATGCGGCGCTCTCCCATCCAACCACTAAGTAACTGAGACCAGACCAGATCAAGCTTTTTTTTTTTACCGTTTGTATAAATATTTGTCCATATTTATGCCCAGTGTTCTCCCACACTTCATGATGATAATTTGATCATTTCTACAGACATTTAATAAAGCCATGTGACTCGATGTGTCCTTGTGTTTTGAGTGTTAAAGCTCTTGGAGACACTCACACCACGGAGCAGGCGTAGGATCCCTTGTGGCTCTGGCTGTCCCGGATGAGGAAGGTTCCGTCCGGTTTTCCCCTCAGCAGCTCCTCGGCCTCCTTCCTCCTCATGGTGCCCACGTACCAGCTGCTCTCTGGGCTGAGGGGGGACACACCGGGCTTTAGGACGGGCATAAACCCTTGTGTAACATAATGACCCGGGTGCGGACAGATCGGGTCGGTGCGGCGCTGTTGGGATTTAACAGAGTGCATTTCGATGTTCTCGGGGCCCCTGGGACAGAGCTCTATATCTGTAGATCTGCGACTGTTATTCATTAAACTCTAAATACTTCCTACCTCAGCTGAACTTTTAATCATGAGCGAGGGCGCAGGTTTGCATCGGGTCAGCGGGGACACGTCACAACCGATATTTGGGGAAGACAAAATAGTTCCGACCGATATTTTATTTTAATAAACTAAAATATTAATTTATTCCCGTCATGGTTCATGTTTTGTAGTCGTTGTTTTTGCTTATTTTGATATCTTTTTCCTGTAGTGTGCCTTTTTATTTTGACATTTGTCCCGTCAGCTTGTAGTTTTGAGTTTTACTTCCTGTCTTGATTGTTTGCCGCCCTCATGTGTCTCACCTGTGTCTATGGCTGCGTTCAGACTGCAGCCTGAAGTGATCCAAATCTGATTTTTTGGCTTCTATGTTCCTGTATCTGATCTTTTAATGACAGTCTGAACGGCACAGATCAGATTTTTTCAAATGTGACCCAGGACACTTGGATATGTGCTCCTGAAACTGATCCATATCTGATCTTTTGACATGTGACTTCAGTGTGAACAGACAAAGCGCATCCATCCGACCTACACGTCATCAACAAGCGACAAATGTCACTATTCTGCGCTGAAGCAGGTGGAAACCGGAACTGTAAAATCTCCAGGTGCTCGATGCTGCGTCCATGTTTGGACAACTTGTGTAAACACAGAGACGCTCGCTGCGGTTGACGTCGTCGTGTCTCCAGTGTCACATGTGGGACACTTTCGGGCCGTTTAATGTTCACACTGGAGTCACATACAAGTCACATTTAACTGGAAATGTGAACGACCTCGCAAAAACATTGGATTTCACAGAAAAATCGGAATTGAGCGTTAAGCCCTGCAGTCTGAACGTAGACTATGTGCTCTTATACCCTGTGTTCTCCTCTGCCCTTTGTTGGTCCATTGTCTCTGTCCGAGTTTCTCCGTGTCTCTTGTCATGGCAATTTAGTCTTGAGTTTTGGATTTTTTTGATTTGTCATTAAACATTTTGAAGCAGTCCTGCGTTTTGGTTCCTCCCTCTGTTTCCACGTGACAATTCCGATGTTTTTGCTAAATCAATAGTATTACTTGAACGCGTTTTAGTTGACATTTTGTCTATTAGACGTGGTTTCCTCTGCCAGTGTTTCATTGGTTTCAACAGAGTGATGTCATTAGTGGTGCCAGCAGATTTACCCTGTGTTCGATTTTCTTTCAACCTGAAGTGTGTTACTCTGTTTGGCACGTCGGACTCTGGATTATGATCATGACTGTTCCCTCATCTTATAAAAACTGACACTTTATTTAATTACATATTTGGAATTTGCATTTCATTTTATGTTATGATTTCTCTTCTGTTACAACCTTAGGGACATTAACGGACGATAAATCAAGTATTTGTTCAATACTGGCCTCACCACAACACGACTCCCAAACCACAGGCAGTGATACAGGCGCGGTAAAATGCTGCAGTGATACGGATGCGGTAAAGACGCGGTAAAGTACTGCGGCGATACTGACATGGTAAAATACTGCAGTGATACAGACATGGTAAAGTACTGCAGTGATACAAGTGACTGAAACTGTCCTTTAAACACCAAAGTCCAAACACAATGAAAACACTTGATATTTACACGTCGCAGTGGGCGGAGCCTCTTGGATTCTGACTCGGAATCCATGCTCTTTTTCCGCCACCGAGATCCAAGTCGCGTTGTCCCAGGAAAAGGGGCGTGTCAAGCGTGTCGCTAGGCAACTTCCTCGGAAAACGGATTTGGAAGATTAATCGAACGCAGCGTTAACTGGGGAAGCGGCAGGACAGGGCCAGACCTGAAGATGGCGCGCCAAACATAAACGCAACTTCTTTTCCCATTTTTACCCTTTCTTATAAAGACGTGCTGTTTGGTTTTTGCAGTTTGCATCATACGAAAAGTCAACAATATTATAGAATTCATGTGTTAATCAAGTAACCGATCAGTTGGCTTCATGGAATCAAAAGATGAGACCAAACCTACGCCCTTGATCATTTGACAGACGTAAGTAATTCACCAAAAGACGTCCGAGTTTGTGGCGTTATGAACCAAGAGTAACACCGGGGTTTACACATAATGCAGGTCAGGTGAGGGTCAGGATGTGCACGGGTCCAAACTCATTTAAAAAACTGTTCTGTTACTCGAGCCTGAGCTACTCAGCGGCGCAAGGACACGGGCCTGAAGTGACCCGGTCCAATTAGAAAAGATCTCCTCCGTGTGATTGTGTGAAGGACTCGGACCCGGTGTGACTGTCCACCGCGAGTAAACGGATACGTGACAAAGCCAACGAATGTTCAGTACAAACGAGGCGACGAGCTGCAGGGAGCAGGAAAATCCGTGTATCATTCGTTCATTCGTTTTTCAATATAAAACCAAAAATAAGAAAACGAAAAAACAACAGTTTTCTTCATTATTTGTCTCCAAAACCAAAATGAAAAAACGGATAATGATTCGTTTTTTCAGTTTTCGATTTTTTTGTGTTTAAATGAAGAATGGAAAAACGGATAACGGACCGTTTCCCGTTTACGTGACTTCAGTGACTGTGATGCCGAACTTTTGCACCGGGTACGGACTGAACCAGGACTGATCCAGGTCCGAGACCAGACCGAGACCAGAGCGGGACTAAGACCGGGACCAGACCGGGACCAGAGAGGGACCAGACCGGAACCAGAGCGGGACTGAGACCGGGACCAAACCGGGACCAGACCGGACTCCGAGCTTTGACTCCGGGCCTCCACGGGGTCCGAGCCTCAGCTTCGAGCTCCGGTCCTGCCGTGGGCTCTGAGCCTTCGGTCTGGTCCCGGTCTGGTCCTGGTCTTGTCTCGGTCTCGGTCTCAGGCCCGCTCTGGTTCCGGTCTGGTCCCAGTCTCACCGCATACGGACTGAATCAGGACGGATCCAGGTCCGTGACCAGACCGAGACCAGAGCAGGACTGAGACCAGGACAGAGCTGCTCTGATCCTCCACACTCAAGAACCACGACTGGTTCCGAGGTGGAGCAGCGTCCGACTGACGCATTCACCCCAACGAAAACGAACCGAACTAAGAGCTTTTGGTTCAAATGGACCAGGTCCGGGACCAGACCGGGACCAGAGCGCTACTGAGACTCAGTCCCGGTCTGGTCCCGGTCTCAGTCCCGCTCTGGTCTCGGTCTGGTCTCGGACCTGGATCAGTCCTGGTTCAGTCCGTACCCGGTGCAAAAGTTCGGCATCACAGTCACTGAAGTCACATAAACGGGAAACGGCCGTTATCCGTTTTTTCCATTCTTCATTTAAACACAAAATCGAAAAATGAAAAAACGAATCGTTATCCGCTTTTTTATTTTGGTTTTGGAAACAAATAACGAAGAAAACTGTTGTTTTTTCGTTTTCTTATTTTTGGTTTTATATTGAAAAATGAATGAACGAATGATACACGGATTCAGGAAACTCATTTAGCGTCAGATTTTTGTTCATTTATTTCACCTCTGCGCGAAATTTGTACCTTTAAACGAGTGGTACAGGTGTCACGTTTACATGATGTCTTTTCAATTCTGAATTAAATAGTTTGGAATTTAAATATTCTCCTTCGAGTTTTGCAGAGAACATTTTGTATGTGGAGCGACGACAAAACAAAATCCCGTTTGTTAATGTAGAGGAGCAGAAGACAAACAGACTGAGCTGCACTTTCTTGTTCTTGTGGTTTTACACAAACATCACGTCTTGGTCTTTGCAGTGGAAGGTGTTTCTTGGTGAACAGTTGGAGACTTTCACTTTGGCGTCGACTTTTTAAATTCATAACCGAGGTTGAACGACGGATCAGGATTTTATTTCATTGTTGTGCCACATACAAAATGTTCTCTGTAAACTCGGGATGATTTCTTAGTCAGACAAATGTTTCCTTTTTGGTTCTTCCTGTGGATCAATCCTGCCCATCACCTTCACCTTTCACTATTTTTCAATTCAGAAACAGTTTGAACAGAGGTTTGAGTCACACACATCTGATTCACTTTTACGTCTATGAAGTTCACAAACTTCCGAAGCCTGTTCCTCGAGTCGTTTTCCGCTGTTAGGATCCAACAACCACAACAATTACGACGTCCGAATCCCAAAACTAAAACATGACAATATCAGAACCAGAAACAAAAGTGACATGGTTCAAAAGACTTGAAAAGATCCAGCCCCTGGGCCGTACACCCCTGGTTTACATGGTCTTTTTAAAGCAGAATTAAGTTTTATTCACAGTTAAATTATTTTTTTTGGAATTAAATCTCTCATGTAAACGTGGCACCTCTCAACCCAGCCTGACACGCCCCCTGCTGGTCACGTGTGTTAGTTTTAGTTTTAAACGTCATACTTACTCCTCTTCGTCGTTCTGGATCCCGAGCCACTCGTTGATCTGACTTTGCTTGGTGCCTTGTTGCGTCAGCCACCTACAAAATAAACACAGTTTCACGGATTTAAGTGAGTGATTCATGAAATAAAAACAAAACGGTGCCTAATGTGCCTTTACTCTTCAATGTACGACGGAGTATAAGGGTCAGATTAAAAAAAAAGATGCCGGCGCTACGAGAATAAAGTCGTAATATTATGAAAATAAAGTAATAATTTTACAGGAATAAAGTTGTAATTTTACGAGAATAAAGTCAAAGTTAAAATAAAGTCGTAATATTATGAGAATAAAGTTATAATGTTACGAGAATGAAGTCGTAATAAAATCAAAGTCAAAGTGAAAAATGCGGCAGAAGAAGAACTTTGTTTTTCAATATAAAATCAAAAATAAGACAACAACAATTTTCTTCATTATTTGCACCTCCGGACTGAACCAGGACTGAACCAGGACTAAACCAGGACTGAACCAGGACTAAACCAGGACTGAACCAGGTCCGAGACCAGACCAGGACTGAGACCAGGACTTAGACAAGAACTGACACCAGGATTGAGACCGGGAACAGGACCAGGACTGAGACTGGGACTGAGACCGGGACCAGACCAGGACTGAAAACGGTTCAGTCCTGGTTCAGTCCTGGTTCAGTCCTGGTTTAGTCCTGGTTCAGTCCTGGTTCAGTCCGTATGCGGCGCAATATTCCCGCATCGCATTTTAATGTGACGGAAATGCCATTTCCCATTTCCGTCACTTAAACCAGGACTAAACTAGGACTAAACCGGTCTCATTCCTGGTCTTTCTGGTTTGGCTCTGGACCTGGTTTAGTCCTGATTCAGTCCTTGTTCAGTCGAATGAACGAATGATACACGGATTCTTCTCCTGTACAAAATGCTCCAAATTCTCCATTCTCCACTCAGACTCCGAGCAGCGATGTTCTCATGATATTAAGACTTTATTTTGACTACGACTTTATTCTCGTAAAATTATGACTTTTTCTGGCTTCGACTTTATTCTCATAATATTACGACTTTAATGTCCAAATGTTAGGACTTTATTCTCGTAGCGCCAGCATTTTTTAAAATTTTTTTTTAATGTGAGCCTTATACTCCGTCGTATCTACATTTATATATCTGCTGTGTTTTATTAGTGGTTTAAGGTGGAGAACCAAACCTCCATCGTGCCCACAGCTGCTGGGTTCATCTGTGGTCATCACCTGTCCTCCTAATGGTTTTTAAATCATATGCTACACATGCTGTCAAATATGCACTATTAATAGAGCGAGCATATAGGCCGCCGTCTGTTCCACCGCACTGAGCTTTACACATCAACACGAACGATCTACAGGATCTTTACGGCTCCAGGATTGAATCTTCACGCCGTTTCATTTTGGGCGGATTTTAGTATTTATCTGACAGAACATTTTCCCTACGTATCTGAGCAGAATCTGTCTTACTGCCGTATAAAATGTATTATGAAGTCGGTCTTGAGGTCAAAATGTGTGTTTTCTGTGTCTAATTAGAAAGTGGTTTATTGTCCAATCATCAGAATCCGTGTGTCGTTCATTTGTTTTTTTCAAAATAAAACCAAAAATAAGAAAATAAGAAAAACAAAACAAAACAATTTTCTTCATTATTTGTCTCCAAAATCAAAATGAAAAAAAACAGATAATGATTTGTTTTTTCAGTCTTTTCGATTTTGTGTTTAAATGAAAAATGGAAAAAATTGATAAATGGACTGAACCAGGACTGAGTGTCAGGACGGGACTGTCAGGTGATCAGGACTGAGACCAGGACTGAGACCAGGACTGAGACCAGGACTGAGACCAGGACTGAGACCAGGACTGAGACCAAGACTGAGACCGGTTTAGTCCTGGTTCAGTCCTGGTTCAGTCCTGGTTTAGTCCTGGTTTAGACCTGGTTTAGATCTGGTTCAGTCCTGGTTTAGACCTGGTTTCAGTCCTGGTTCAGTCCTGGTTTAGACCTGGTTCAGTCCTGGTTCAGTCCTGGTTTAGACCTGGTTTAGACCTGGTTCAGTCCTGGTTCAGTCCTGGTTTAGACCTGGTTTAGACCTGGTTCAGTCCTGGTTCAGTCCTGGTTTAGACCTGGTTCAGTCCTGGTTCAGTCCTGGTTTAGACCTGGTTTAGTTCTGGTTTAGACCTGGTTTAGTCCTGTTTTAGTCCTGGTTTAGACCTGGTTCAGTCCTGGTTCAGTCCTGGTTTAGACCTGGTTCAGTCCTGGTTTAATCCTGGTTTAGACCTGGTTCAGTCCTGGTTCAGTCCTGGTTTAGACCTGGTTCAGTCCTGGTTCAGTCCTGGTTTAGACCTGGTTCAGTCCTGGTTTAGTCCTGGTTTAGTCCTGGTTCAGTCCTGGTTTAGTCCTGGTTTAGACCTGGTTTAGTCCTGTTTTAGTCCTGGTGTAGTCCGGGTTTAGTCCTGGTTTAGTCCTGGTTTAAACCTGGTTTAGTCCTGTTTTAGTCCTGGTGTAGTCCGGGTTTAGTCCTGGTTTAGTCCTGGTTTAGACCTGGTTTAGTCCTGTTTTAGTCCTGGTGTAGTCCGGGTTTAGTCCTGGTTTAGTCCTGGTTTAGACCTGGTTTAGTCCTGTTTTAGTCCTGGTGTAGTCCAGGTTTAGTCCTGGTTTAGACCTGGTTTAGATCTGGTTCAGTCCTGGTTTAGACCTGGTTCAGTCCTGGTTCAGTCCTGGTTTAGACCTGGTTCAGTCCTGGTTCAGTCCTGGTTTAGACCTGGTTTAGACCTGGTTTAGTCCTGGTTCAGTCCGTTATCCTTTTTTTTTTTCCATTTTTCATTTAAACACAAAATCAAAAACTGAAAAAACGAATCATTCTCTGTTTAGAAAATAGTTTGGTTTTATTTTGAAAAAAACAAATAAATGAATGATACCTGGATTAGTTTAGTTTAGTCTAGTTCAGTTTAGTTTAGTTTAGTTTTAAATTCAGTTTGTTCAAATACACACAATATACACACATAGATAAAACATACAGAATGGGGGTGATGTGCAGTTAATTACACAAAAAAGGAAACAAGTAAACAAGCCAACAAGAGTATTTCCTATAGATATTGTATGGTTAATAGCTATTTTTTTTTTTTTGTCCTGTTTTATTGTTTGTAAATATTGTTGTATTTCCTTATTATAATGATGACCATTTAGTTTATTTTGAGTCCATTTTGTTGTGTGTATATGATATTTGTCCAGGATGATCAGAGTCTGAATGAGGAAACAGATCTGTGGGAATGTTTAGTTGTTTGTAAACAGAGACTTTTATTGTGGCGGGTCCACTTCCTGTTCACGCAGTTTACTTCCTCCTCCTCTCCCGAAAACTCCAAACAAACTACTAAAACTCTCTAAAAAACTACGCCTTTCACCCCGCATTTTAATGTGAGCCTTTTATCGATATATTAGAAACTACCACACGAAATAAAACTCGTGTAAACTGTCTCTGAAATGTTTTATTAAGCGAAGATAACTGCTCCTTTCAGATCTCCCATAGCGCCTCCGTACATTTTCACCCATCGAGCTGCGCGCGGAGTGAAGCTTTAGCCCGTGGAAAACAAGGTGAATACTTTTACTTTATTTATATTTATTTATTATAAAGATGCCGAATTTTAGGCAACACTTTAGTTTAAGTAAAAGTTAAATATATGGGCCCACGCTTAATGATTTTTGCCTAGTTTGAACAATTTATTTGGTTAAGGCTAAATTGCCGGAGGAGTTTCGTATGTCATCGAAACCAAATAAAATGTTGCTACGTGTTTATTTATTCCAGTGTTTGTTGAACAAAACTTTTATTTAAGAACTCTACCTGAGTATTTAGACCAGTATTTGGAATTGATTATTTGGAATTTGATCATTACAATTAAGTGCACTGTCTTTAGTGACATGATTGAATGTTTTTTTTTTTATTGCTCTAGTGATTGATTAGCGATACATGGTTTATTTAACTCATTCAAATGATTTTTTTTTTATTAATTCTTAGATGAAAAACTATATTAATTGTGAATAATGAATTATATTAATGGGCCCCGTCAAGCAGAAGTAAACAACAAGGCCAAAAATTCAAGTGAATTCATCTGATATAAAAATGTATTGAACAGATACATATGTACTCGAGTTTATCAAACTGTTGACCTTTTTTCTGGACCATTTTTGGTTCTAAAGTTCCATCCGTTTTAAACAGACCATGTATGAAACATGGAACAAAAATTATTTCCCAAATTTCAAAGACCCAAAAATCATGTAAATAAATGTTTGTATTTCATCATATCTTGTGTTATTCCATCTTTGAACTGTTGATGAAGGGACAGGATTTAAAAAAAAAAAAAAAAAAAAAAGTATTTAAAATGATAAAACTTTACTTGGAAGGACTGACATATTTTATAGAAATAGTTTCCTTTCATTTTGAAGTAATATTAAAATATTCGGAAGAAAAAAGTGACAAATGATGTAAAATCCTGCACCTTCTACTTGTTTGTACAATTTTCCCTCTGTTACTTTTCCCTCCGTTACCATGAACTTTCTTAATAAAAAATCTCATGAGTCAAAAATGTAAGAGGTTTTTCAACCTAATCTTGTACCATATGGTAGAAAACTATATGAAGCAAATATTCAAACCAGTTTGTTAAGGATATGGAAGTGAGAACCAAGAGTTATCACTGTTTGGATTTATTGACCAACAAGTGCTGCATATTTCATTCCCTCCCTTGAAAGAATCTCACAGGTTTAACTTGACCCTGTTGGAGTGTAACTCTTTCCTACATTCTGATACTTTACTTATTTCAATAGTTCCTCTAGTTTCTGAACAAGAGACATTTGAATGTCAAAAATCTGACCCTGTTTCCTCCGTTAACACTTGACTGGACTCATATATATTCATACCTGTTTGATGGTTAATGCTGTGATTATGCATATTGTCCCATGTATGTTACACGTGCATTGATTTAATTTGTTCATATCGAGTTACATTATAGTAACAAGGTTATTTATTTTGAATGAAATACTTATTTGTGTTTTTGCTCTTCTAGGTCAGGTTTTTTTTTATGGATGGAACCCACTTTGAACAGACTCTGACAAATCTCAACTCAACGAACCACCAGATGAACCAACAGACCACCAGAGATAAACACCTGTGCCTGACCTGGTAGGACAAACTTTTTCCTTTTTTTTCTTCTCGAACCGTGAGTTATAAAGTACGATTCTAAAACTGTGGATTATAATGAAACTTTGTGGAAAGAAACTGTTTATTTTTGTTTGAGAGACTCCAATTTATTTTCCCCCAAAACTGGAACTTGAACCTTTGTGTTTTTGTTTTTTTCTGTTTGTTTATAGTTTAATTTGCTTCCCATTCTAATATACATATATAATATTTACAGTACTGTTGTCTGTTTTTCATTCACACCTCAGACTCTTCAAAGAACCACTCTTCTGTTCCTGTAACATTCTTTGCCGCAGTCGTAAAACCAAACCTTAAAATGAGCGTTACAAGTTGTTATCTTTATTGTCTGGCCTCTAAAAGTTGTGAAAACTTTTTATAAACTCACAGTGAATAATTAGGATTCTGTGAATGCATAAGTTCAGTGTGGAATAACTTTGGATCATTTAAAATTACCCGTTTAAAATGAACTCTTTCTGTTTTTTCACATTTTAATTGAGTAAAAATGAGTTCGAGCGCGTTTAAAGAGACTCACAGCAGGTACTGATCCCTGATTTTCCTGAGCTGGACCAGGTCCGGTTTGAGGCTGTTCATTTTCTGGTCGACCTCTGAATACGCCTGAGCCTTGGTCTGGAGCTCGTCCTCCAGTCTCTTCTTACTGCTGTGGATCTCCTCCACCTTCAGCTGGAGGCCCTCGGAGTCACTCTGGAGCCTGAGAAAAACAAACACAAACACGAGAGCGTTTTTAAACATCTTTTAACTTGGGCTGGACAATCAGAGTTTAATATCCAGCTCAGTGTTCTTGTGTTGTGAGTGTGGTGTGCGGTTACTGGGGGTTGTTCTGGCCTGTACAGACCTGGACCTTCTACCTGAGGGCAGCAGGTAGAGCGGGTAGAGCTGGTTGTGTTGGATTTTGTAGACTCTTCTCAGACAGCGAGTGGTGTAGATGGTTTTGATCTCTGGGAAAGTCGTCCCAATGATTTTCCTGCTGTTTTCACCACCTTCTAGAACACAGGTGTCAAACATCCGGCCCGGGGGCCAGATCCGGCCCTCCAAGACCTTTAATCTGGCCCTCGTCTAATTTTCTACTAAAATATTTAAATTATATTTTCTATTAAAATCTTGTTAATTTTGTGTGGTGTTTATTACAGCAGCGTCTCCAGTGTCTCTGTACGTGGCCCCTCCCACCAGAGCAGCACAAATGAAGACTTGTCTCTTTCCAAACGCTCTTAAAGGACGATCGTTTTGACTGTTGACCGTGACTCCCTCATCAGAAAAATGTCCAACATGAGAAAAGTGGAGCCGAGTGCAGGATTTTACAACAAAAATGGACTTATTGACTCTTATTTGCAAACAAGTTCATGTTAAAACTTTGTGTTGAAATTGTATTTTTCTTAAAGTTTCAGGTTGTTCATAATATTATAATATTTTGTAAACGAAAGAGTTCATCAATTAAAAAAGATTTCTGTAATAGATTTGTGTTTCTCTGCACCAATATTTGAACTTATTGTTATTTTTGGGGTTTATATGACATGAGTTTTTCTGATCCGGACACTTTGGGATCAAAGTCGGTTGGACACGACCCCCGGAACAAAATGAGTTTGACTCTCTTGTTCTAGAATCTGCTGCTTGGCCTCAGTGCAGCTCGAGAGCCACACTAAAAGTCCATAGGTCAGAACACTGCTGATGTCGCGGTGGTAGAAGTTCACCATCAGTGTTCCTGGGATGTTGGCGCTCCTCAGTTTCCAGGTCGTCGAGGTGGTCCCCACAGCTCGTCTTGATGTTCAGGACCAGGTTTTTGTGCGTTTACATGCACATCAGTGTTCCGGTTATGATCAGGTTTTTTTGAGTATCCCAGAGCTCTACGCCGGTCCTTTCGCCTGTGGTCACCTGATAGTCCACACGGTTTAGTCCTCCCTGTTTTAGTCCTGGAATCAGTCCTACCATGAGTCCAGTTAGTCCTGGGTTAGTCCTGGTTCAGTCCTGGTTCAGTCCTGGTTCAGTCCTGGTTCAGTCCATGGTGTGTGGGGCGCAAAAGTCCGGCATCTCCATCAGTGTTTTTTCTGCTCAAGAAATAAAGCCTGTGAAGTGATTGTGAAATGATGACAGTCGAGTCGCGCCTGTCAGTTCATATTCGTAGTGAACAAAGTGTTTTATTTCATTTCGTGGTTGTAATTCTTGAAGTCGTAACTTTTCAATTCGTGTTCTAATGGCTGCTTCAGTTAAATTGCTTTTAATTTGTGTGTGATTTGTCACGGGCGGGTAGTGGGTGGAATGTTGACGGGTCTGGGCGGGTGTGGGTCTCTCGTGCAGGACTCTGGGTCGGGTCCCGTTGGTCGGGTGCGATGGTTGCGGTGGTCCTCTTAGTACAGCGTGATTCATTTTTATATACAGTACCCCGGTTTCAGTATCTGTTATGACAGATCGCAAAACTGTAGCTGGAAGATTCTGATAGTAACCGGGATATTGTGGCATGTAAACGCACTCCATGAAATTGGATCTCGTTGTTGATGATGAGTCTGAAGGGGCCCCAGTGTTGATAAAAAGGGTGGAGGAGTTGTGCTGCCCACTCTTACATTCTGTTTGCCGTTTGTTAAAAAATCCACAACCCATTTGCACAGTGGTTCAGATTGTTCAGGTGGATGTGCTTTTTCTGCATTAATGTAATTGAACCTTTTGTGCTAAAAAGTGTATTTAAAATATTATAATTAGGGGTGTCAAATTATCGCGTTAATTGCGATTAATTAATTACAGTCATATTTAGCGCGTTATGTTTTTTAATCGCGTTAATCTCATTTTTAATCTCTAAATTTACTGTTTCTGTATGCGAGTTGCTTTATTATTAAACCAGTTTTTATGTGTTGTTGGGACAACAACACACACACACACACAAAAAAAACACATTTATACATTTTTTTATTTCGGTAATTCCACTCATTGTCAGAAACCCACATAAAACGCGCGCAGTTACAGCGATGTAAACGTCCAGTAGCCAGTAGAACAGAGCAGCAGTGCACAGGTAAAACGCATTCGTGTCTTGGAAATTCTTCTCCCGACGTGAAATATAAAAGAAAATAACAAATATAAAATCGCCTACAACTTAAATGTCACTGGTGAAAACAACCTGCATAGGCTCATGATGTCTGCACTACTGTCCTATAGTGACCTGCCACATGAGGGGACACACACACACACACACACACACACACACACACACACACACAAACACACACACACACAACACACACACACACACAAACACACACAAACACACACAAACACACACAAACAAACACACACCTTCATCATCGTCATTAACCACGTTTCCTTCCGTAGTTACTGCGCGGACACCGACCTGCTCCCGTGAGCCGCGTGTCGATCGTGTTTTCTCGCTACGCTGCGTAAACCGCGCTTCCTCCTGTGAACCTCTAAACCAGAACTAACACCAAGACTAAAACCAGGACTAACCCAGTCCAGGACTAAACCAGGACTAAACCAGGACTAAACCAGAACTAAAACCAGAACTAAAACCAGGACTAAACCAGGTCTAAACCAGGACTAAAACCAGAACTAAAACCAGGTCTAAACCAGGACTAAACCAGGTCTAAACCAGGACTAAACCAGGACTAAACCAGAACTAAAACCAGGACTAAAACCAGGACTAACCCTTTCCAGGACTAAACTAGGACTAAAGTAGGTCTAAAGCAGGTCTAAAGCAGGTCTAAACCAGGTCTAAACCAGGTCTAAACCAGGTCTAAAGCAGGTCTAAAGCAGGTCTAAACCAGGTCTAAACCAGGTCTAAACCAGGTCTAAACCAGGTCTAAACCAGGACTAAAACCAGGACTAAAACCAGTGATCTCATATATAAAACATTTCTCTATCAATAATATTTTTAATATGGTTAAGGAAAGACTGGACTTTTTATTGTCTTTAAGTCGACAAAAGTTATTATGTTCAGATTTCCTCGTCTTTGCTACTTTACAACAAACAGTTTCTTATTCATGGAGACTTGGGCTCAACAGACAAATTGGAGAGATTTGTTAAACAATAAATGACTTTATAAAGGCACTTTTTTAAAATCTATATCAGTCTTTTTGATCTGCCACAATAATGTAATAATGAATTTAAATGAAAATACCTCAAATTGAAGCTTTTCTCAGCAATTTTTAGGTGAGATTAAAATGAGATTAATTAGATTAATTAATTATAGATCATAATTAATTAATCTCTCAATTTTTTTAATCGCATGACAGCACTAATTATAATATAAGAGAAAACATAGTTATCAAATATTGCATGTCCTTCCCCACTTTGAGCCCCTCTAAACCTCAGACACAGACGCGCTCGTGCTTTATTCTCACCGCTCCGAGCTGCTCAGGGACAGGAACATGTCGATGTACTCTTTGCTGTAGCGCTCGTGGGTCTCGCACTCCTCCTCAAAGATCCGAATGATTTCACTGAACGCCTCGATGGCCGTCCTCTTACTCTGCAGCTCCTGGAACAGAACACACACAGAGGGATCAATACGACGACTGGAGATCGACTGATACGGGAGTTTTCATGGCACTGATAAGATTAAGATCATTTAGAATCCAAAGAAACCGATGGCCGTTAAACTGTCAAATTATACAATCTGTAAAACTCATTTGTGACTTTGTTTTACTACAGACTGGATAGGAGAGCAGTTCAAATAGATTTTTGCAGTATTCTCTGAAGCAATGATCTCTGAACTTTTTCTCTCAACTTTACATTTACTTAATTAAAATGGCAGAGAGCTCCTGCTGTGGGCAGTGTAAGTGCGATCAGTCTCCACAGGGTTAAACATAAACATAAGTCATTGCAAATGCACAAAGTTAGATATCAAAACTATGCTTTTTGTAATGGTAAAAGCCTCGGAAATGTCCTAAATTCTTTGTTCCTAAATTAGAGCTACAGGTTGGAGACCTCTGGACTAAAGGGTTCAAATAAAACTTTATGTGTGCTCTTTATGCATCTGTTTGAGCCAAAGGAAATATCGTTATGCTAAAAAATATTGGCCAACTTATATCTCTAATGATGAGCCAATATCAGTCATGGTTAAAGGTTTTAGTTTTATATGGGTGTCTGAGATTTTGTCTTTTGGGAAGGAAGATGTCACTCAGTTTGAATCAACAAATTGCAAAGGCTGCAGTTGTTTAAGTGTCTTATTATGTAATATTTAAGAGTAACAAACTGATCATCAGGGAGGCTTTACGTCAGTATTGGTCTTGATGAGGTTCAAGATTTAGTTTTCAGTATCAATGCTTCTTAAATTGAGTATCTATTTTCGATATTGGTTTTAGTATTGATTAGTATCTGAGTGTTTTACCTGAGATGTCTGGTTGAACTCCTTGAGCAGATTGTCGTACTCTTTGCTCTTCTGTTGGTATCGATCCTGAAACATCCGCAGCTGTTCTCCAACTTCATTTATGTCCACTTCCATCAGAACCTGTGGAGAAAACACATGGAAAAAACATGGTTCCTTTACTAGAAACTCGTCCACAGTTTAAACTCTCGTCCACAGTTCAAACTCTCGTCTATGGTTCAAACTCTCGTCTACGGTTCAAACTCTCGTCTACAGTTTAAACTCTCGTCTACGGTTCAAACTCTCGTCTACGGTTCAAACTCTCGTCTACAGTTTAAACTCTCGTCTATGGTTCAAACTCTCGTCTACGGTTCAAACTCTCGTCTACAGTTTAAACTCTCGTCTATGGTTCAAACTCTCGTCCACAGTTCAAACTCTCGTCTACGGTTCAAACTCTCGTCTACGGTTCAAACTCTCGTCTACAGTTTAAACTCTCGTCTACGGTTCAAACTCTCGTCTACGGTTCAAACTCTCGTCCACAGTTCAAACTCTCGTCTACGGTTCAAACTCTCGTCTACAGTTTAAACTCTCGTCTACAGTTTAAACTCTCGTCTACGGTTCAAACTCTCGTCTACAGTTTAAACTCTCGTCTACAGTTCAAACTCTCGTCTACGGTTCAAACTCTCGTCTACGGTTCAAACTCTCGCTCGCACTTCAAACTCTCGTCCACTCTCATTTGCAGCTTAAAAAACTTTCGTCCTCAGTTTAAAAAACTCTCACCCGCTGCTCAAAAAGCTTGCATCCACAGTTCAAACTCTTGTCCGCACTTCAAACTCTCGTCCGCAGCTCAAACTCTCATCTGCAACTCAAAAAAACTTTCGTCCGCAGCTCAAACTCTCGTTCACAGACGTTTAAACTTCTATGAAAAGGCAACATATTTATCTGTTTGCAGTGAACTGTCTATAAGTTAAACTAAACGCAGCCTTAGCGATTTGAAAATTGTGCCAACTCGAAATTTTATGCAGACGTGCATTTGTCCCGACTGACTGACCTCTGACCCCTCATACCTTCACACCCTCTTACCCTCCTGCCCTCTGACCCCTCGACCTTCTGACCAAACCCCCAACGCGATTTAAAGATTTCAGTGTTTCCAGTAATTTCTTTCTCTTATTTGATAAAAGATACAGACCTGTGGAAATGAGCTCTGCTCAGTTTCATCTAAACGAGTGAATAATGTTGATTCTACAGTGGGACATTATTCCATGGTTAAATTGTCCTGTGGATTTGTGCTCCCTTTAGTTGGAGCCGATTTGAGCAGAATGCAATTGTTGAAATGAACGACGCAGATTTATATAAGTGAGTTTAGATTTGACAGAACTAAAGTTTAAAGTGTGATCATCGTGAGCAAACAGCATCAAATCCAAAGAAATATATTGTAAAACTGGGATTCGCTTTATTGGATCTATACAACTGTAAATGGAAAAACATAATGTCATTTATTTCGACAGGTCGGCCCATTTTGACAGAACACAGACTCTCCACAATATTTTCTATTTCTTATGTGGACACACAGAAATAATATTTGCCGACCCCTGGTCTAAACTTTGATTTGATTTGATGACGATCCGTGCGTGTGACCCACCTGCTGGTATCTGGACACGGGGTAGAGCAGCCGAGTGTCCAGTTTGGAGTTGTACTGGGCCAGGGACTTGTGGTGGTAGTAGTGGATCAGGTCCATGACCGAGGAGAACGCCAACGGCTCGGAGAAACCGCACTTTCCCTCACGGTGAAAGATCTTGATCAGTCTGTTGGTGCCGTCTTTCCTGCAAACGCACAAGCACAAACTCGCTTCATATCGACTGCCCCGCAGGCTCACATTTCTACTGATGTTTATTTGTTTAAAGTCCAGACTTGAGTACACATCAGTTTCCATTCAAGTGCTTTTCATCACCTTTTTACAGTGTGGTGTAATTTTAGGAACGCAGTTTGTCAACGCTCAAAAATTAATTAGAAACTGAGAGTAAAATATTAAACAAAAACATCAGAACGAAGGCAAATTAGATCCTTAAATCCTTGAATAGTGTCACGATATTGAAACTGGCTCAATAACAATTAGAATACTTCAATAAAGATTAGGAATGTAACAAGAACCGAAATATTGTGATAACGTATCGTCAAAAGTCTCACAATAATATCGTTTTGCTGTCATAATATATCGAATTACAAGTTTCTTTGCTTAAATTCAAGGTTTTATCGCAGCAACAGCTTATAAACATAGAGAACTCCATTTCCCATGATCCATTTCAGCGCAGACAACATGAAGAAATATGTTTTTTACTTGAATTCTTGGGATTACGACAGAAATAATTCACACTAAAATCTTGTCAAGGTGTTTTAAAAGCAAAAAAGTGTCCTGTCTATATCGCAATAAATATCGTACTGTGAGATGCATATCGTGATAATATCGTATCGAGAGATTTGGATATCGTTACATCCCAAATAAAGATAAAAGTGTCAGTAGCAGAATGTAATTTTCATATACAAATATCTTACACTACTTCTGATAAAGCTCAAATTTATAGTAAAGCTGTTCAGGAAAGCGAAAATTTTGTTGTGTTAGTGCCAGGGGTGTGCAAAAATATTGAAATATCGATATATCGCCTCGTTTAATGTTATGATACAGTATAGATATCGTGGGCTGCTGTATCGATATATCACCAAGAGTATTTTTTGGTATATTTTACTAAATTATTTTGTTCCAGCTACAGTTTTGGGTAACACTTTTTAATAACTACACCTTATTTAGCCTTAATAAAGCATGAACAAAGACTTAATTAATAAAGAACAAAGACTTAATTAATAATGAACAAAGACTTAATTAATAATGATTCACGCTTCGTAACTACATAATTACTACCTTAATTAGTACTTGCACTTAATCTGCCTGTGCTGTAAATAGTTACTCATAATTATTTCATACTTAATTACTCATGAACTAACCATTTGAGCATTTATTAATCATTAATAAGCTATGAGAGAATGATTTACTAATAATGCAATGCAATGATCATTCAGGCAGCTGTTCTCTGTTAGTTAAAGGTTGTATGGAGGATTTTTTTTGTTTCAAATTGTCAGTGATAGATTATAGATGCAGGAGCCTTGTAATTATGATGACCAAAAAAAAGAGAATAAAAATTCATCAACTCTGGACGTGGTGGGGCTAAACATTTGCCAATAGATAATGACACTGCCTCGTTATCTGTGAGCTGACAGGCTGTCAATCAAACTCCCTACGTTTCTAGTGTAACTGACTTGCCTGCGCCGCCGGTACGTGGTTTATGTACGACTGTCACACAGTCCACAGACGCAAGACGCACAGACGCTGTTTACTCCACCAACGCAACAGTTCTTAGCGGCTTTTTTTGACCTATATCTTCCTCGCAGTTCACACAAAGTTTGTTGCGATGGCGACAAGAATCCAGGAGCAGTTCGCCGCAAAAGAAAGTCAGTTTTTGAGGTGAAAGAAGAAGACAAGGGGAAAAGCAGCGAAGCCAAACTAAGGTGATTCTTGAAGATTCATTCCAGCGATGGCGCGACTGAAGCAGACGAAGGGTCTAAAGACTGACGCACTGGTCCACAAATTACTCCTGGACAGAAAACTTCTGCTTATTATGAAAACCGTACTTTATTTCCAAGAGTTAGACAAACGTTTTTCAGGACACGAATGTGATATCCTATGTCTGAAAACTTAATTTTCAAGGCAAAGAAAGAGTCGCTTGCTGCTGCGTGTTGTAGTTAGTTCATTCGCACTGAATCTCCGCGCAACCTTCTCTGCTCCCCTTTCCTGCTCCTCTCCCCGCTGCCCGATCCACTCTTCCCCACTGCTCCTCACTTCTCCGTCTTGTCTAACCAACACTGTAGTTAGTTGTTTACAAGTCATGTGCAGCGGCTGTAAACAAACCTGTTTGTGGCGTAAGGAGGAGGAGGGAGGAGGTGTTTCTACGTAGGAGCTGTAGGGGAGGGGGGTGGTTTCACACAGGAGCAACATTTGAAAAAGGACAAACAGTCGCTGGATTTCTGTTCCTTGGAAAATCCTCTATACAACCTTTAAGTCTTTTTGAGAGCTTTTCTAAAGTGAAGAGTAATTATCCTTTATTAAGCATTTACTAAGTGTGAATCATTATTAATTAAATCTTTGTTCATTATTAATTAAGTCTTTGTTCATGCTTTATTAAGGCTAAGTAATGCATAGTTATTATAAAGTGTTACCCAGTTTTGTTGTTTGTTCAGAGGAAGGAAACTTTGTTCATGCGAAACATTTGACATTTTCACTGTTTTGTTGATTAAAATGTTTGTGTTTCATATGAACTTTGCACAAGAAGAAGTGATTTAACAAAGACTTTTAGTATCACAGACATGATTTTTATTTAACCGTATCGAATCATAAGCTCACTGTGTCGATATGTATCGTATCAGCAACTTCTGAATGATACCAGCTCTAGTTATTGCTGTATCGATACTGACTCAAATGAGTACAGCCTTTCGGTATTAGTTTTATCGATTAGTATCTGATTTTCAATACTTTTGGCGACCTCGAGTCTGTCTGTTCCAGTTTATTACAAGTAGGGCTTGGGTATCATTAAGAAGTTGCCGATACAATACATTGGTCACGATATGATACATGTCTCGATACAGTGAGCTTTTGATGCGATACGATATATTTCAAATCGATTCGATACAGTTCAATAAAAAATAAAGTCTAAATCATGTCTGTGATACTAAAAGTCTTTGTTAAATCACTTCTTCTTGTGTAAAGTTCATATGAGACACAAACATTTTAATCCTCAAAACAGTGAAAATGTCAAATGTGTCACATAAACGTTTCCTTCCGCTAAGCAAACAACAAAACTGTAGCCGTAATAAAATAATTTACCGTATTTTTCTGACTATAAGGCGCAGTTAAAATCCGTAAATTTTCTCAAAAATCGACAGTGTGTCTTACAATCTCGTGTGTTTTATGTATTAATTCTGATTGTGCTTACTGATCTCACATTGATTTTATGCGGGACATGGCACCCTGAAATCTGTCTTTTAGTACGACTTTGGCAAACTACAAAGCCGCACCGCTGGATGGATTGTCGGAGCTTTACGGCGACCGTAGTCATGAGTAAGTCCGACCAGAAGCTGAACCGCATCAGCGCACAAGGAGCGAGCTGTTTTTTTTTTTTTTTTTTTTTTCAGCTCTTATAGTTTATGCAAATTAACCATGTGGTTTTAAGTTTTGTTTCTGTTAAACGTAAACAAATGTGCGCAATGTATATTTGAGTCATCCTTGTAAATAATAATAAAACTAAAAACAAACTTAAATGATCCACATTATTCTTATTCACATTCATAATCCACATTCACTTAAGCGGGATCGTGGACGTCTGGGCTCAGGATCAGTCTCGAGTGTCGTTCGTTTGTTTCTCTTAATGCACCTTATAATTTGGTGCAACTTATGTATGAAAATAGATGAAAGAATTCAACATTATTGGTATTGCGCCTTATAATCCAAAAAATACAGCAGAAAAATATAAAAAAATACTCTTGGTGATATATCGACACATCAGCCCACGATATCGTTACAGTATCATCACATTAAATCACAGGTGTCAAACATACGGCCTGGGGGCCAGATCCGGCCCTTTAAAACCTTTAATCTGGCCCTCGGCTGATTTTCTACTAAAATATTTTAATGATATTTTCTATTAAAATGTTGTTAATTTTCTGTGGTGTTTATCACAGCAGCGTCTCCAGCGTCTCTGTACGTGGCCCCTCCCACCAGAGCAGCACAAATGAAGACTTGTCTCTTTCCAAACGCTCTTAAAGGACGATCGTTTTGACTGTTGACCGTGACACCCTCATCAGAAAAATGTCCAACATGAGAAAAGTGGAGCCGAGTGCAGGATTTTACAACAAAAATGGACTTATTCCTGTTTACAGACAAGTTCATGTTCAAACTTTGTGTTGAAATTGCATTTTTCAGGTTTCAAGTTTCAGGTTGTTCATAATATTATAATATTTTGTAAAAGAAAGAGTTCATCAATTAAAAAAGATTTCTGTAATAGATTTGTGTTTCTCTGCACAAATATTAGAATTTATTGTTATTTTGGGGTTTATATGACTTGAATTTTTTGATTCGGCCCCTTTGGGATCAAAGTCGGTTGGATACGGCCCCGGACCAAAATGAGTTTGACACCCCTGCATTAAATGATAAAATATATGAAATTTTCGGTATTTTTGCACACCTCCTAATTTAAAAATGAAGTGTGTTTGTGTTTGGACTCTTTACCTCAGAGTGAGAGTATATTCCCCCTGAACTCCACTTGAAGCGTCTCGAACGAGGAATGTTCCATCAGGAGTGTTTCGCATTATTTCGTTCACCTCCTCCCTGAAAAAGCAGACAAAATGATCGATTTTTTTTTTTTATGTTTCTGGACCAATATTACACTGTTTTCTGATCTATAATGTGGTTAAAAGTTCATGAGTCAATTTTACTGATCTTAAAAATACAATCATACATTCATTTACCAAAACAAAATTGTAAACGTGGATTAAACGGACGTACCTGGAGATGTTTCCCCAGTACCAGTCTGCTTCTGACAGTTCAGAGTCACACATGCACAGGTTACACGCCGCCATCACTGTTGGGGGCTCGCTGAGTTGGAAATCTAAAGCCGTACGTGTAAAAAAAGAACAAAAAAAAAGTCACAAAAATTACTTACAGGACAGAGTTGAGCTGCTGCTGTTTTTTCTATAATCATATTAATCCTCCTAGACTCTGTGTTCAGTGAGATTCAAACCCAGAGACGCGTTATAATCTCAGACGAAGTGGAGTTTATCAAAAAAATAAATTAAAAAAAGGTCAGACTAACACCAAAAGTAGATGTTTGTCAGTTAGAGGAGCAGATCTGTGGAATATTCTGGACGACAGGTTAAAAGGAGCAACATCAGTAAAGGCACGGTAAAAGGAGAAATCAATTCAATTTGTCAACTGGACAAAAGTTTATTTTGGTCGATTACGTTTTGCAGTTCATCCAAACTGCTTCTTCATTTTCTTCAGTTTCTTCAGTGCTTCTGCAGAACTGAAGAAGCAGTTTGGATGAACTTGGATGAGCTGCGACATGTGAAAATGTACGTGTCTCTGTATATATTTACTTATGTGCCTTGTCAGTGTCGGTCTTGTTTGTTCTTATTTTTGTATTTTGTATATATATATTTTTTGTGGTGTCTTAAAATGTTAAAAACAAGTATCGATTCTACAAACATCACATGATTGAGACGTGTACAATGGCCTGGATTTACAGTAAAGTCTACACATGGATCAGCTGGTAGATTTATAAAAACTAACTACTACTACTACTACTACTACTACTACAATACTTCAATTGAAACTTGATTTCAACACTCAGTACCAATTCTGATACCACGATAATAATACAAAACTCTTTCTTTAGACAATATCCAGTGATTTTAAACGTTAAACAGCAGAACTCGTTTCTATTCCCATGTGTCTTTATATCTGTGTGATCCCTCAGTGGTCCAGGTCTAAACCAGGTCTAAACCAGGTCTAAACCAGGTCTCAACCAGGCCCAAACGTGGTCCAAACCAGGTCCAAAGCAGGTCCAAACATACTCAAAACCAGGCCTAAAACAAGTCCAAGCAAGGTCCAAACATGGTCTAAACCAGGTCTAAACCAGGACTGAACGTGGTCTAAACCAGGTTATAACCAAGTCTAAACATGAGCTAAACCAGGCCCAAACATGGTCCAAGCCAGGTCCAAGCCAGGACTGAACGAGGTCTAAACCAGGTCCAAACATGGTCTAAACCAGGTCCAAACATGGTCCAAACATGGTCCAAACATGGTCCAAACATGGTCCAAACATGGTCCAAACATGGTCCAAACCAGGTCCAAACATGCTCAAAACCATGCCTAAAACAAGTCTAAACCAGGTCTAAACCAGGTCTAAACCAGGTCTAAACCAGGTCTAAACCAGGTCCAAACCAGGTCCAAACCAGGTCCAAGCCAGGTCTAAGCCAGGACTGAACGAGGTCTAAACCAGGTCCAAACCAGGTCCAAACCAGGTCTAAACCAGGTCCAAACATGGTCCAAACATGGTCCAAACATGGTCCAAACATGCTCAAAACCAGGCCTAAAACAAGTCCAAGCAAGGTCCAAACATGGTCTAAGCCAGGTCTAAACCAGGACTGAACCAGGACTGAACGTGGTCTAAACCAGGTTATAACCAAGTCTAAACCAGATCTAAACCAGGTCTAAACCAGGTCTAAACCAGGTCCATGTGTGTATTCTAGTCTCTGTGTTTTATTCTTGTTCTGATCCGTTCTAAACACCTTCAGGAAACGTTCTGCTCTGTCCTGACAATGACACTTTTTTAGTATCGATACTCGCTCAGACAAATATCTAGTTTTAGTATCGATTAAACTGATTTCCGATACTTTTGACAACCGTAGCCACGTGTGTTATTAAAACGACAAAAAATGCTCCGTGTTTGCGTTGTTCTAATGCCGGAACTTACCTCCGTCTTTGGCTTCTGCGTCAGTCATGGCGCCGTTGAGATGAAGCGAGGAGAGGTCGGACGGAGCCGCGCGCTCACTTGGGTCCAGGCCTCGCGCCGACGACTCTGCAACGACACCATAAACCGGTGAACACGGAGAACACGGAGGACACCCTGAACAAGGAGGACACCCTGAACAAGGAGGACACCCTGAACAAGGAGGACACCCTGAACAAGGAGGACACCCTGAACAAGGAGGACACCCTGAACAAGGAGGACACCCTGAACAAGGAGGACACCCTGAACGGTCTGGGTCAGAGGGTCTGGAGCAGTCCTTCAGTCTCTGCTCCTCTTTCTGCTCCTCTGTTGGATTTTCTCTGCTCTGTGTCGGAGTCTGGTTCCTTCTGCTGCTCCGTTGGTTCCTCTCTTTGCTTTGTGTCGGGTCTGGTTGTGGGCTCTTCTCTCTCTCTGCTCTGTGGACTCTCCTCTCTTGTGTTCCTGGTCTCCTCTCTCTCTCTCTCTCTCTCTGGTGTTTTGTGGGCTCCTTTCTCTTCTCTGTGCTCTCCTCTTTCTCTTCTGCAGACTTCTGTCTTTCTGGTGTTCTGTGGTCTCCTCTCTTTTCTCTTTTCTCTTCTCTCCGTGCTCTCCTCTCTCTGGTGTTTTCCGTGAGTTCCTTTCTCTTTCTTTCTGCTCTGTGGTCTCCTCTTTCTGCTTCTCCCTTGGCTTCTCTCTCTCTGGTGGTTTGTGGGCACCTCTCTCTGCTCCTCCGTTGGCTCCTCTATCCGTTCTGCGCTCTTCTCTCTGGTGCTCTGTGGGCTCTTCTCTCTCTCTTCTCCGTTGGCTCCTCTCTCTCTCTGCTCTGTGGGCTCTCTTTTCTCCGGTGTTCTGCTGTGTGTGCTGCGTTTGCTCCTCTTTCTGCTGCTCTGCTGGCTCTCTCTCTCTCTCTCTCTGTGGTCTCTCTTTCTCTGATCTCTCTTGTTCTCTGTGGTCTTCTCTCTCTGCTCTCCTCTCTCTGGTGTTTTGTAGTCTCCTCTCTCTCTCTCTGCTCCTCCGTTGTCTCCTCTCTCTCTTCTCCGTGCTCTCCTCTTTCTCTCGTGTCCTGTGGGCTCTCCTCTCTCTGCCGCTCTGTGTCGGGGTCGAGTTGTCCACGTCTCTTTGGGCTCCTCTGCGCTCCTCTGCGCTCTCCTCTTTCTGCTCGGTGTCGGGGGTTTGGTCGTGTCAGTCCGTGTGGTCTCCTCTCTGCTCTCTCCTCTCGTCTCTCGTCTCTGTCTCTCTCTCGTCTCTCTGTCTCTCTCTCTCCTCTCGTCTCTGTGGTCTGTCTCTCTGCTCTCTCCTCTCGTCTCTGTGGTCTGTCTCTCTGCTCTCTCCCCTCGTCTCTCTGCTCCGTGTCCCGGCCGTGTGTGTGTCCGGACCCGTCTGCTGACAGGTGACACAGTCTGAGTGCCTAAAATACCAGGAGGGGCTCTGGTCTGCACCCCGCGAGCTGCTCCGACCTCGCCTCGCCTCGCCTCGCTTCGCCCACAAAACAACAGCTGTGCGAGGAGAGCCCGGACCTCCCCCCCCCGGACCTCCCCGCCGCCGCCCCCTCGACCCCCGCGACCCCCGGGGACCCGCGGCTTTAGCGCAAACTGTGAAAGTGCAAACCTGCCGGGATAACGAGAGCCGAGAGCCGAGAGCCGAGAGCCGTCGGTGTGTGTGGGGCAGGTTCACACGGACGTACGACCACAAAAGGACCATACAGATACTCGCAGATACACACCAGATACAACCAGATAAACGCCGGATCAGGGAGACCTCACGTCCCTGTTTCACCCGGGACAGTCCCAGTCCTGAGTCCTGAGTCCTGAGTCCTGAGTCCTGAGTCCTGAGTCCTGAGTCCTGAGTCCTGAGTCCTGAGTCCTGAGTCCCAGAAGATTTATACAAAAAACACTGATCTGTCCAAGTTTGATACAAGAAAAGTCCCAGTGTCTCTATTTTTGACCAATCTGATCTAAACCTGGACTAACTACTAAGACTAAACCTGGACTAAACTAAGACTAAACCTGGACTAAACTAAGACTAAACCTGGACTAAACTAAGACTAAACCAGGACTACATGAGGTCTAAACCAGGACTAAACCAGGACTAAACCAGGACTAAATCAGAACTAAACTAAGACTAAACCGGGACTAAACTAAGACTAAACCTGGACTAAACTAAGACTAAACCTGGACTACATGAGCTCTAAACCGGGACTAAACTAAGACTAAACCAGGACTAAACCAAGACTAAACCTGGACTAAATCAGGACTAAACTAAGACTAAACCTGGACTACATGAGATCTAAACCAGGACTAAACTAAGACTAAACCAGGACTAAACCAAGACTAAACCTGGACTAAATCAGGACTAAACTAAGACTAAACCTGGACTACATGAGGTCTAAACCAGGACTAAACTAAGACTAAACCTGGACTACATGAGGTCTAAACCAGGACCTGGACTAAATCAGGACTAAACTAAGACTAAACCAGGACTACATGAGGTCTAAACCAGGACTAAACCTGGACTAAATCAGGACTAAAACTAAGACTAAACTGGACTAAAAGGACTAAACTAAGACTAAACCAGGACTACATGAGGTCTAAACCAGGACTAAACTAAGACTAAACCAGGACTACATGAGGTCTAAACCAGGACTAAACCTGGACTAAATCAGGACTAAACTAAGACTAAACCTGGACTACATGAGGTCTAAACCAGGACTACATGAGGTCTAAACCAGGACTAAACTAAGACTAAACCAGGACTAATTCTGTATTCTCTTGTGCTTTGGACTTGGGGAAAACAGGGTGAGCTTTATGTTATTTCAAAACTTTTTCTTACTTCAAAGATTTTTCTCAAAATGAAACTCCAACTCGAGTCATTTTTATTTTTATCCCACATTTAAAAGGATGATTCAGAGTCATTTCAGCCACGGATCCTTTGCACCACGACCTTTAAAAAACTGGGAGAAACGGGAAAACCGACCTCCACCTCGAGAACGTGTCATGGAACGGCCAAACAAATCGCGGTTTTGAAACACAAACTCGGGCTATTTCGGCGCAGACCAAGTTGGACGGACATGAAACTTTCTCCGTCGTCCGT